TGGCATCACAGACAAAGTTATATAAGCAGAGAGTATAATAAAGATTGCAGTTTTGGACAGAGCCCTCTATAGACAACATTTTCAAAGATTACGAACATGATAACATTTTTGACATGGATAAAAGAGAAATATTACTATACATAAATTTCCCTACAGTAAAAATGAGTTTTTTAAATGAAAAATAAAGATGTTTCTTTTGAGCGAAATGAAATCAATCAAGTTTGTCAAATAGACTTTCCACTCTCGGTATATACTGTTATTATTTACTATGTATAAAATTTGAGTAACTATTTCATTTGATATAACAAAAAAACCAAATCGAAAACTTAAAATGTTTGGTATAATACTGTAAAATAACATTGACCCTTAAATGTTTACACCTCATTAGTATTAAATGATTAAATATTTTTTTTTTGTTTATTCTTAGCAAACTGATCAATTATTCTAGCTGGAAAGAGCCAGATATTTTATAAACGCTTGTTGTTCATGGCAACCGCTCGATCGGAATTGTCCCATATTCGGCCCATTAATTAAGTTTTTGGTCTAACGAGTGCAGAAAAAAAAAGTTTAATTAAATCCATCATTTTTCTAACACACGTATATAATATATGTTTTATACAAACAAAATAATTTTAAAAAATGTTTATAATATATTATGATATTTTAATACGTCGTAAATATTCAAAATTTCGAATATTCAGTAACCTACCTAGGCTACCTAAGTATCGTTAACTGTAGTTTTCGAATAATACGATGACACCTCGGTGACACTCGTTCTCCGACAAGAGAATTCAAGAGTATCACAGTGTATTAATTTTTTCCAACTCCTTACGTTAGCTAAAAACCACCAAGACGGGTGTGGACTGTGGATGCATGTCCAACACCCACGTGGTTGTTAACCCTCCCTCCACCGTTTCATACCCGAGAACAACGCCGCAGATCGGCTCATCAGCGAATTCGTGATAGTGATATTATTATATACCTGCCCCCGTGGAATAGGAAGTATTTTGTAGACTTTGGGTGATTACCATAGGTGTATATATAGCCCATCGTCCGATAGGTACGTCGAGCGTTATCCGCGATCTAACTACACATGCCCACACAGTTTTCATTATTCAAAAGAGCACAAACATTTGCGATATGCATACAACCCGCGTCGTGTACATATTATGTTCGCGCAGCATATTCGTAATAATAATATCATATAATATACCGCCGTGACGATGGAGTGCATTACACGCTATTATAATATTATAGTTGTTGGTATAGTACTATAGTGTGCAGTTGTAGTTCACGGGCGTAGGTTCAGTAATTGACTTTGTGTGGTTTACCACCCCACCAAAGCTCGCACGCACTCGGATATATTATGATTATTATTATTATCTAATGTTGTGCCATAGGTATAGCATAAGCCGACCGCAGAATACATCCTTTTAGGAAGTCCTCGACGACCACCGTTCCATCAGCTCGTCTAAACGCGTGTCGAAATCGGTCTAGGATCGGAGCCAGTCAAATGATTACGAAACTGCTGCCACGTGAGAGCGCAGTGGATGGCGCGAAATCTAATCAAATATTGAAATATGACGTACAAGTGTACAACTATATTCGCGATCTCGTGTTTTCCGTTTTTACGCGGTTTTGTATTTTCTTTTTTGTAGGTCGTTGCAACGTCAATTGGTGACGTTATCGTGGTCTGAGAGGAGAGAGGACTCCTAAGGGTCAGAGTGTCAGATTCGGATCCCTCCCCACCCCCGGGCTTTGATCGTTTTTATTTTTAAACTTTCAAATGAAAAATAATTTACTATTTTCGATAAAATATTTTGTACTATCAGATGACCGAAATCGAAACCATCAGCAACAATTTCTCCAACACAGGACTCGAGTCCTGACGATTGTTTTATAGTTCAATATTGTCTATATTATATGACAAAAACTTTTTTTCATCGCAGCACATTATTATCATTAGTTATTATAAATCGGGGCACACTTTGAATAAACATTGTCTATTTTCCCAAAATGAGAGCTTATGAGGACATATACGCAGGTATCAAAATCTTCATATTATCTAGTAATATTATACCTACTTAAATATTATTTGTCTTTCAGTAAAGAACTTTTATTTTTATTCTATTATTCAAATCGTGTTAAAATCCTCTGTTAAAAATAAATTGGTTTTTAAAATAAAAAGAGTTCAAGTTTTTTCAGCACACCATTTGGGAAACACTACTCTGTAGCATTATTCATGTTTACAAAAACTATGCGAAACCTCTGTGGCTTTCTCGTTACTGATCGTAAGTGTTAATGACCATCATTGCCAATATAACATATATCTTATGTAATAATACGCTCTAAGATTGAACCAATTGTTATAAGAAAAAGTGAACCAAACCTGACCATTTGAGCTGTTTAGATCTAACAACAGGCGTAGATATCTTATCCCGATAGCCATCAATCATTTACGGTTTAAAGATAAAATATTATTTCCACACGTCACTCGTTTGAACATTTAAGTATCATAAGAAACCACGTATATTCTTAGGTTCCTAATTATTTGATAATATGTCAATAATGCTCAATATAATATTAGATCTAACAACACAAAATTGTTTCTACTTAATGGCCAATTATCTACCTTTGTTGTTCGTTAGTAAAACGCAGACAGTACGTTATACGGGTGTGACGTCCTCTTAACTTCATACTGTAAATTTGAGTTAGTATTGCATATCTTTGATATCTATTCACGATGATTAAATTAAAATCTTAACAATTTTAGATTTAAAAATCAACGAATTTTCATAGTAATGCAGCTGGCCACTGCCCACTTTTTAATTTCATGCAACACTTTCAACATTTCGTAATGAACATTGTGTGTTGTACAGCACACTGCACACAATTTTAATGCCTGGTGTGAAAAGTTTCAAAAATAGTATAAAAGTGATCATATAACATAATTATGAACCTCTCTCCGACGACCTGATCCTAATTACGCCACTGCAGTGAACCGTGCGTGTGTGTACGAATCCAAATCTGGAAATATAAATTCGAAAAACAACGATAAGAAGAAAGAGGCGAGCTTATTATTTATTATTTTTATTTTGAATTTACTATGTGGTATTGAGAAAATAAAACAGAGGAACGACATTTGAATTTTAATGGTTTTTATATTTTAAATGTCAATCAAAAAGATGATTGTATGATTGGTAACTTTATAAGGATATAAATATTAACTGTATAAAAACAACATGACTAATTAATTTGACAAAATTTTCAACAAAACTGTCACTCATATTCAGATGTAGGTATAATCTTCTAATTTTTGTTTATAATTTAATTTAATATCTGATCGGTTTTTGGAAATATGACGAAAGTATAACGAAATTACTGACAGTCCATGAATTGGATTGATTTTTTAAAATTTAGTCGGCTATATGGACTTTCCACTATAATAGGATAATACTTGGATAATTGTGTACGCAAAACATCTTCTCTAGTGATCCGGCTGGTTTTATAATATAAATATTATATAAAATTATATACCTATTTACTGTATTAATATACCTAATTACTTTTGATGTAGGTAGGTAGATGGAAGTTAGTGGAAAATAATTCCTAAGAAAAAAATAATAATAATAATTTCACTCTCTAAATTGACTGTGTCCTTCAAAGTTTTCACATGCCCAGGACTTCACCAGTCACCATACTGTTGTCTCTTCATTAGTTTTATTCTTTCTCTGCTCCACCAACGCGTGCACTTAAAATTGTTATCACATAGAGACGTCTAATGTGTACAGAAGTATACGTTTAGTATAATTGTTTACAGTTATTGCCTTATTGGTTATCGGTAGGCATATTATATTTTATAAAAATATTTGTACCTACACCGTAAAAAATATAATATAACGGATTTTCGTCAAATTATAATGCACATCACATTATTACCCATGAATTATATTATAGTTTCATATCATAATATTATCTCTGTACCTACAGTTTTAATATTTCAAAATAACTATTTGCTGAATAATAATAATCCATCACAAATCCGCATTTTAATTACTATTAAATTATAACGGTTCTATGTCAATAAGACGCATATTGTGGATATGATTTAATTGAATTTCTACTGACCATTCTACATCAGTTAAATAGCTGCCATAAATATTTAATTATCAATTTATCAAAATGTTTGTATATTATTAAATTATATTATATTATATTATATAAAAATATTACCCAAAGTAGGAAATGGAAAAAAATGGCAACGTTTGTTGCGGTTAGTTCATAGTAGTGGGAAGGAAAAATGTAGTACCTAGTATAGTAATTTAAAAAATGAATATACACTTTTAAAACGTATTTAAATGCTCTGAATGTTTTCAGGCTATTACAAACGTTGGAAAATTGCGGTCTATAGTAAATGTAAAAAATATATATAATTTTGGTCTACGTTTTTCTTGTTGCACAGAAAAAAATAAACCGAGTACAAATAAAGTTATGGTTATAGGTTATAATAATATGTATTTAAAATTCAAAAATTAACTGTAATGTAATCTATTAATGAAAATCAGTAGCGAATAGCAAAAAATGGAACGTACCGTTAATAATGATGCATTAATGCATACTATACGACGACCGAAAATATGCCACGTTAACTCGTATTTCAAATCACATCGATTAAATATTTTTTTATATTTCATATATTATGCATTTGAAAACGTGAAACAAAATTAAAAGCGCATTTAAATTTGATACTAATTTTTCTTTATTTTAATTTAAAAAAAAATGTATTACTTCGTGCTCTGAATATGATTGTGTACGATAAACGTCGTACCTAAACCTACTGCCGATACGGATTCGAGTTTTTAAAATAAATACACTACCTTGATAATCAATATATACTTTATTATCAACGACGTTTCATTGATTGTAGCATTCAGTATAGTTGTAAAATGTATTAAAAAAATACAGTAAAATCCTAAGTATATATGTATATATTTTTTCAGATTGAAGTTGACATTTTCCTGCATGATGGACCTATCTAAATTCCCATTGGACAATCAAATTTGCACGATGGAAGTGGCCAGTTGTGAGTATCATTGCAGTATTTTATTGAAACATATTGATAGTTGTTTTATAAAAAAAAAAGATTTTTTTATGTAACCTATTTTGTAATATTATTTTGAAGAAAACCTGAAAAACTTACCTTAAGTTTTAATTTTTAAATCATACACTTTGGTATCTTCTGGTAACAATACTTTATACTCTATAGTCGTTAGTCATAATAAGTAATCATTATATTGGTTATAACTTATAAGTATAGCTGCAGAATATTAATAACAAAATTGAATAAAAAAAACTTAGCTAGAATTCTAGATACACGACTAGACATTTTTACAATAAATAAAAAATGATGGAAAAACAGTTGACAATTATAGAATTTCTTTGTTGCCAATGGCCATAGTTGCCGAGGCTTAATTCAAATGAAAAAAAAAATGTAGAATTGAATCAATTACTACAGCTAGCGTACAATAGGAATGAATAGTATGAGGCATCTACAACAAAATACTGAGTTAAGCATTATTTTATAAAAATTTAGTTGTAAGATCACAATGTGTAACAAACGTGGAAAAAAATATTAAAGAACTTCTTTTCAACAAAATTCAGTTAATATTTTTATCTATACTAACTTTAAACTTTCAGAGTTAAAACATATATTGTTTATTATATGGGTAACTAATGAATTATAACTTAACGTTTTGACTATACTTAGATAACTAATTCAAGTTAATTTTTTTCGTTTCCAATTTTTGAATATTATAAATATTATTTTGAAACACAAAAATTAAATTAAATGCAATTTATACTTAATAGGAATGATACAAAATTAAAATTACAAAGGTATTTTCATATAAAAATGGAAAAACAAGAGCAAACCTTGTTAACTAAGCCACTTTTTTCGAGCCATCTTTTCCAATAGGTTCTATTTACTGTTTTGTTTTTATTTAGTGTTTTCAGAAATCATTCTACGCCGGAAAACTATTTTATATTTTACATTTTGTTTTTTTTCATTTCCAGAAAAAAAAGATACAATTTATTTTAACGTTAAAAAAACACTGACGCCGTCAGATTATTGTTTTGGTTTTAATTCCGTAATTTAAATTTAAATTTCGATTGCATATTGAAATTGAAATTTTAAGACATTATACCATATTTTTTCAAAACAAACTCGTTTTTCTTTTATAACTTTTATTAAAACTATTTAACATTTGTATTTTCAATCAGTTTCACTCAACGTATTTAGAAAATGAGAAGTTCAATGCTGTATGGGTATTTACATATACATCCGAATTTAGTAAATGATTAGATTTATAAGCTTATCGATTTTTCAAACAATTTCTAAAGCATTTACAAAAAATTAAAATACAAATTACTATTTTCTGTAACATTTAGACTTACATGTCATATAATATCCGTATCCCTAAAAATTAAAAGCTGAAGTCAGATAAAGTCAATATTCAAAATCCTAAAATTGCATTGCATCTACCTAGGTATATTATTTTAGTAATGTTCAAAAAATACGAGGACCGAAAATGATAAATATAATAATTAATGGATAGTCGAAAACATTTTGAAGTCGGATTTCGTTTACTGTTTTATTAGCACCCACACGTTGTTGTCCAATATTTGCACAATATCCAGTTCGGGTATACAAGTTGATTTAAAATAAACCCGACTTGTCTCAAAAAATATTGGTGGTTATTGTTTGGTTATGCTTTGTTTCGTTTTAACATATGTAAATAACAATATACACCTAGTACTCTATATTTTATTTGTGTACGATTGTCAATTTTTGATTCCGTCGTCCGTACTGTTTGTTAAACTGCCTTATTGACTTTCAATTTATATGTGACATCCAATAAGTAATTGCAATTTAAATTCTCGAAAAGATTGTTTTTCAAAAAATATTGATATTATACATTGGTTTCATATTCCATCGAATGCATTTTAAATTATAATATTTAAATCTTTAGACTTGAGTAACAAGGAGAGTTATACATTCCATAATATATATTTGTACTTTTGTAGACAAATCCACTTCCTATTTCTACTCCAGTCCAAACATTAAATAATTATTTTAGTTCATACGCCATTAGTTTTGTGTCAAAATAATCAATATTTCCCGAAAAATATCGCCTCAAATAATAAATCTTAAATTAAAATTCTAGAACCAAACGAAAAATAGGTGGTAAGTACGCTTAATATTAGGTAGAGTTATTTAAAAAAAAAAAAAAAATAGAATTCTGTGATGTAAAATAACGAAAATTTATTTACGAATAGAATCAAAAGTTTTGGTATACAAAAAATATAATAAAAAAATATGGTAGAAAAATATCAGCAAACATGAATAATAATGATTATAAATACAGATAAACTAACGTTAAACCATGATCAGCCATAATCATATTGATATTTCTAATCATTATTCGGTAGCTGGTTAAACAATCACAAAGCTGATACCTCTAACACGTTATCCAAGCAGTATTTGCATAAAACTTATGACCAAAGATAGGTACTAACTTAATATGTTAATTTTAGAGACACCAAAGTTCAGGTTTTAGTGAACTATTTAATTTCAAAACCTAGTAGGAGAAACCACTAACCAACAACATAACACGTTTAGTTTAATCCTGTTGACAAACAAAGCAAAAATATCTAGGGACAGGGAAATCTTCTTAATAAACGTTTAAACGCTGTATACGATGTTTGAAACGTGATTTCATTAACTTTGACTAGACATAAAATATATTACCAATAAACCACGTCAGAATACAGATTCTAATCTCTGAAAATATTTCACAACTAAATTATAATTGGACTTAATATGTATTTTATAAATTCACATTCATACGTGTTTTATTTTTCTCATCGTTAAACAGAGCTAATATCATTCAATTATAATTAATTATCTGTACTAAAAATAATATACAGTACTAACATACATTCAAAAAACGAAATCAATTTTTTTCAATGTCCAATAAAAAGGAATAATAGTTACCTACTAGACTTTTTTTTCCGTTCGAGCATTTAAAACGAGTAAGCCGTAAAATATTTCAAAATGCAAGGTTATAATATTTCGTTTCTTAAACACCCTTAAGTAAAATGTAATAATAATATTACATGCAGTATGTTTGACGTTTAATATTTATTGTCACAAAAAAAATGTATTGTAATAATTATATTACATGCAATATGTTTGACGTTTAATGCTCATCGTCACAAAAATATTTTATTTATATAATTCAATTACAAGTTTCATTAAAAACTTATCAATTATAAGGTTTCTTTTTTAGAGAAGTAATACCTCATAAGTTATATAAAAGCGCTTTTGTGTTTTGAACATCTGGAATATTTTAATAATAATATCACGTATAGCTCATTATTCCCAAAAAGAACATAAACTTAAAAGTAATTTCATGAAAAGCAGTTATGAATGTTTTGACAGAAACATCACGTATTTCCATATTGATAATATTGACTCGTGTTATTATAATAATATTTACACCTATTTTTACCACAATATTCACATTATGTGTTTCTTAAAAAATCGAATTTCTTGCAACGGCTTAACTAGTGAATAAGTCCTGGTAAGTCCGACTCCGGTCCTACTCATTTTTTTAACATTTATTTTTGAAAATCTAAACTGTTGTTTTAAAAAAAAAATAAATAGATATTAGATAGTTTCGCATATGAATATATATTATAGAAGAATTCGGGCCTATCCAGGAAAAAACATTTTAGGTATGACACTGATTTTTAGACTTACGGTGTACTGTTTCTTCGGCAATGATATACAACATATTATGGTGTTTAAATTATACATGTGGGAATTTTGACAAAATAATATTGAAAATTGTACTTTAAAATTATACCTATTAAATAGTAATTGTTTAAAAACGTGCGGTGTTTGTGACTAAAGTGTTCTGAGATCAATCATTGGCCAGTGTCACTAGTTCCCGGATGGGTGACCGCCCGGAGTCTAGTGGCAAATCATAGCCACATATACACGTGTTCTAACCGACCGTACGTACAAATCGCGAAAATCAACTGAATAACATTCAGGTTAATGGCCATAGATGTTGAAGCCTTAACCCAATAATATATATATGAAAGTTATAATACAGACTTTTACTTTTTATATTTTACTTTCTTTTGAACTTCTCATATTTATCATTACAAAAATTAATAAACAAATAATGCATTATAATAAAACGATTGAATTGTCTGTTTTATTTTATGTTATAAAGTCCAACAATCTGTAAACAAATCATAATTGAATGGGCGTTTGTTAAAATAGACACTCCTAAATCATGGACACATTATTAAAAAATTAATTTAATTCTTAAAATTATCTACTGTTGCAAAAAATATCAAATTATTATACAACCACATACATAAATATAAAACGGTCGAATACTTATGTATATTATATTAATATAACTAAGTACTAACAGTTACCAAAAATTACCAAAAATAGATATTCAAACATGTTATGCCAACTAAGCTTTCAATTATCCTTTGTCACGGTCCCTGATAACATTAATATTTTTTTAGCAAATTAAATAAATTGTTTCTATTCTATTGAAAATAGAATGAAAAATGAAAGAAAAATTATCACTAAAATAACTTTTACATGTATCATTTTAGTTTCAAAAACTATTGAAGAACTTCGATTGGAGTGGAAAAATACGGATCCTGTACTAATGGCCAAAGGATTGAGAATGCCTCAATTTGAAATTGTAAACATCGTGCCTTCCGACTGTCAAGAATCATTTCAAATAGGTACGCACATTCTTTATAATTAATGATAAAATGTAAGTTATAGTAAGCATAGCACACTAATTAAAGGTAATTTATGTCGAATTATACATTTATTTTATATTATATTAGAACAATTAGAAAAAATAAATGTCGAAGTGAAATATTGTCGTTTCAACTAAATACGAATAGGTATCACGAAAACGATATAAATCTCAAAGGTTTTTATCCTTGCCATTTGTGTTTTTGGATTACAAAACTTAAATTATAATAACTAGTGTTTCGTGGCTTTATGGAAATGTAGACGTTATTTTGACGTCTTTTTGACACATTTTTTTCGGTTTAACCGCTATTCGAATATTTTTTTTTAATGGCATTAACAGTGATTATCACTGACTGCAATTAAGATTTTATTTTCGCTAAACGCATGGTTATTCAGGAGTGTCGTAGTACACGTAGTGTCGCGTAGGGCATACGCTAAGAATATCTTCAGCTCATATTTGTATAATATAGGCAGTGACGCAACTAGGGAGTTGTAAGTCTCCGCCACGAAATGTGATATTATTTATACGAATCCTGCGTAATACAACAAAGTTGCATAATTTCTATTGCAATTCCAGACATCAAACTGTGCGTAGGTATATCGTGTATGTTGTAGACTTCACGTAGATTTTACTCACAAAATACAAATAGAAACATTTTTCAAATGCATAACCCCCTACTCAACCCGCACTAGGAAAATGAATCCTGATTGTGCCGTTGAATATTATAGGTATCACAAAAATAGTAACAGACATAGGTATAAAAATGATATGAAATTCTCGTGAAGTATCAATATATTCAATATTCTATAGACATTTCATAAAGCAATCAACGAATTTTATATTTTGCCATACTTATACAAAAAATATAAATAAATAGCTATATTTGTGCCGAGGATGGGGACATGAAGATGTTTTTATTTCTGTAAAATTCGGATTTCCCACCTAGATTTGATTTTTCTCTATTTTCTAACGGCACGATTTGTATTTATTTTGTTTGACAAAAGATCAAATATTTCCCTACAGCTCAGGAATATAAAAATCCAATAAATGCATTCCCAAAATCCTAATCCTGGAAAAGATAGTAATATTTTTTTTTATTAAATGTGACTGTCGCAAAAAAATGTATAACAATTTTAAAACTTGTACCAATATAAGTAAAAAGAAAAACTGTCTTTTCGTTAAATTTGCCATATATAGGTACCACTCATTTTTTTCAAACAAAACTTAATAATAGTACGTTAAACTGTTAAAGGTATAACTTGATAATAAAATACTACTGTTACCTTTGTATGAACCGGTGACAGAAATAATTATAATTTAAAAATATTTATTTTCATGATAAAACATTTAGTTTTGCCATTTGTTCAAAGTTATAAATTATGAGTGTGGACTTGTCATAAATATGACAATTATAAAGTGAATTTACTAAAAAAATATAATGTGCATAACATGTGTGAGCAAAAACTAGAGGAACCTAACTCATACATTGTGATCTCCACAATTTACGTTAAAACTATAATGTCTGCAACAATATTAATACCTACCTGTAAGCCGTTCTGCTGTATTATGCTTTTTGTAATATGAAAATCAATACAAAAGCCTTTCAACGTGTTTTTACATATTTTAAATAAGCATAAACCCCATATTTGTATAGCATGCATTTGCACGTATGTTTACAAAAAAACATATTGAATTAATAGTCGTTAAAAGTAAAAAATAAAACCCACGCGGCCATACAATAAAAATACGTTAAAAAAAGCTGATTATAGCGTTAGAAACGTAATCTTTATTTGTACTGCAGTTTATTGTTGTTGTTATTATTATTATTATTATTTATAAATTACAGCGCAGTGTTATACAGGGTAACGCGTGACCAGAAAAAATATTACAAAAATCCCTCTATATTAGATGTATTTATCTAATGCAGCGATATTAAAAGTCGCATAATTTTGGGAGATAATTATACAATACGTGGTCGATACATATTGTTATTTTGCATATCATTTAAAACGCCGTTGTGCGTATACGGTGTAAACACAACTGCACAAGTGCAAATGTTGTTGTTTTCTGATTTACTGTTTAGTAACGCTTCGTTTGGGCGTACCTACCTACCTATACATATTATTATGTAATATACGAAGGTGTTGTTACGCGGGAAGACGTCGTCGCGCACTCCTCCTTAACCAAACAGTTTAATATAACCATATTAATTTCGGAGCAAACGTTAATTAAGACGAGTATAATTTTATTCGAAATTAAATTACAGATAAATATATAGTAACTACACATTACGATCAAATGAACTTAAAACGGAAACGCGTGTACACACGATGCGCTAAGGGTCGCCCATTATTCATGTTAAGTCTCTTGGGCATTATCTCTCCCGCGTTTCACTAATAGCAGCAGGGACGTTCGTATATTTAAATACATTTTACGCTCGGCCGACTGGCGAAACGGTCGGGTTACCTGATAGTTTTCACACGAATATTCCAGAAGAAATCGCAGCGAAGAATGAAATATTTCAAGTATTATATACTTATTGTTATGTATCACGTCATATTGTGTACTCGATTAGTCGGGAAAAACTTTTCAGCTTCGGCGCACGCACGCGGTTGTGAAAAAAAAATTGTCAAACCGCAACGACGACGTTTCATTCGACATAGGACATATTATGTAGTTATGAACAAATAGACGGCTTATCGTTTAGCGGAATTTTTTTTTTTTGTTACCAGCGCACTCCACTCTCGGTCCTTTGGTCCCGACCGATGCCGTGATGCGGTTAGCTGAGTGCGATCTGCGCTAAGATAATATAATAATATATTATATTAGAAAAACAATATCATATCATTGTACGTAGATGTATGTTGTTTTCGTGTTTGAACGGTACGTTTATCCATAAATTACAAAACTTTTAACTCACCGTTTATCCAATGATAAACGGCTCAACATTTGGTTGTATTAATATTCAGCGAGTTGTATGTGGAAATTCAAAATAATGACTATCATCGTGTCCCGACGTCGGAGCACGTCGTACCTGCCTGAAAATGAAATAGAGTTCAACGTTTTTTTTTTTTTTATTTTTTTTTTATTATTTTAATTATTAAAAACAATTTAAAACTAAATTATGTACATTTATCGCGTTGCGCTAACCTCAGGACATCTGTTATAGAAAAAAAATGTACCTATGTGTATAAACTTCAATTTTTCAACACGAGAAACGAGAACTCCATTAACTAAAAATAATAATTTTAATTTGCTTTATGTTTTTTTAAATACCTAAGGGCACAGCTCAGCGTTCAAAAATATTGTTGTACGTAAAAATATCAAAGTAGGTAAAGTTTGTAGAGATAAAAAATCAAAATATAATTAACCTACCTATAAGGTACCTAAATATAAAAAGCATAATTTTAAATTATAAAAAAACATTCAAGTAGTCGTTTAATTTAGATCGGCACCTGAATTATTCAAGCAAATTATAAAACGCAAAATGAATATTACATACCGCATGTGCGTCAGCATGATTTATTACGTAAACCCGCGGTTACTTCAAAAATTTTCAACTTAAATTGTGTTTTTTTTTATTTTGTTGTTGTTTCCCTTATAAAAATCATAGCGGTTGCCTATATATTTTTAATAATCGTTCTTAAAAATTGTTGTTTCTTTATTATTATTGGAACAGCATGTGATATTAATGAAATTTATTTTGCTTATATTTTTTTATCTATAAGAACGAAATATCATCTGATAAATTCTAATATGTTGGTTAACCAACAGACGTCAAACCAATATTATAGGTACACACATCTACATTTGATAGGTACGCAAGGAGTATAGAAAATTTCCCACTTCGGAACTATCTGACTTAAAAGTCCAATACTAAAATGTAATAATATTTTACGTATTAAGATTTTCCGGAAAACTCGGAGTAACTTTAATAAGTTGTTTAATTGCTAAAAATATATCTTTAAAAAAAATAAATCACTTGTATATAATTCCATAGCAATTATTTATTAATCACCCCATCAAACACACATAATAACAACCTTCGTTCTCTATCTACATAGTATATTTAAATATTACATACCAATAAATTATTCATACTTACAATATTTTAAAATTACCTTTTTAAGTGATCGAAGAATGTTTTATATGAATTGGTTTACATGTTTTGTTTTAACTGTATTTATTTTAAGCAATACATTTTTTTTAAATGTTGATAGTTAACAATATTCATCGTTAAAATAAATAAATACAATATACATTGAAAAGGAAAAAATAAAAATTGATGATTTGTTTGGTTTTAGGTACACGTTTTCAATTAAAGCGAATTTTAATTATTTAAAAAAAAAGGGTTCATTTTGAACAATATCAGCATTATATACTGTTAAGTACTACGAATAATAATAAAAATAAATAAATAATTGTAAGGGTGCAAAAAGTTTCAAGAGAGTGGTTCTTGAATTGAATATAAATAAAATGACTCAAATCATAATAATGCATCATAAAAACATGTCTGCTGCTTGTTTTAGTACTAATTATTATACCTTTTTTTGTATATTTACAATCAGTGAATTGATGTTCAATTAATAAATTTGATTTAAAAATATATAATATACATTTTTAAATTATTATTTTTACTACACAGATGTATACATATAATATATATTATATACTGGATGATTAAGAGTTGACGCTAATTATCTCAAAAAGTATGAACACTTTTGAAAATATTTGTTTAAATTCTGTGGATTTTTTTGTGTAAAAATTGAATTTGAACTATAGTAAATAGTTAATACGTGATAAGTTGTTTTAAAGTGTTAACGAGGGTAGTGGACCAACATTTTACGTGGTGAATTTCCCGGATAGTGCCACTCCACTCCGCTCATCTTAACTTCAAAACACTCAGAAAAATAATATTCAGCGATTATAAAAACGAAAATTCACATTATGTATTCAATAAAATAAACCTTAAAAACTAAA